GTACTTTAGGAATTTCTGGGTGGAGATGTGCCGCTGGGACCCTGGAACCCTTAGCCTATACCAGAGCTAGTTCAGCTGAATTTTGCCACCCTATACTAGTGTAACCAGTGTTCAAACCATCGATTTCCGTCTGAATTCCGATTTTTGACAGTTAATAATATCCAGTAGTGTTTTATGATAGTCATCTATCGACGCTGTTGAGGCTGAGGTGCAAAAATTTAAACTTTCCGATTTCATTTTGTTATTTTTGAGTGGCAATTCCTGGTTTCCTTTTAGTCTAGATAAAGTCTTCAACCAACTGGTCATCAGTTTCGTGAAAAATGATATCCCATTCTAGATCCAAACGCTCTGATTTATACTGCATGAAAACCATACCCTTCACAGCGGTACATACGTATATAGCCCATATATGGCAGTACCCCCGCCCTCCCCACGCCGGGATGATCTGATTACCGGTATAATTTATGAATATGTGGCCGAGCTACAGGTTGTCTAGGCTACGTATTTCCGGTTATTTTCGGCGGAGACAAGCGACAGCCGGAAATACGTCTGCGTTCGTAGGCTACAGGTTGCCTCGCAAACAGCAGTTGCAACTTGGTAATTAATTTGCCTTTCAGACCACACGTCTACACTTTATGTACAGAAATAGCTTTTATCATTGCCCCGCGGATGCCATTCATGAATGAACCGTTTGTTTCTCCATCTGCAATTTGCGAAAACCAGGTAAAATAACCATGGGGAGTATTTGACCGTAAGGCACTGGAGTGCGTGACACGTGTTATGTGTGAAATTGACTTGATTAATTATTGTGCGAATGGTTGAGCGCAACCTATTTTAGTATCAAAGTCCTTTTTAGCTTTATTTACATACGTTCCTTTTTCAGTTAGCCAAACTAACTGAAAACGATGGCGTCCTCGCTGATTGGAGCTTCCAAAAGGTATGGCTAGGCTATAGTCAACAGATAGATGTAGTGTCAAACTGGATCATTGCATTGGTTCTTAGCGAAATATTCCTCGCTTATATTTATATCGACAAGATGATATTTATGAAAAGCGACTTGATGTAAAGCTCAGTATTGCTTTTATTCGAAGAAAGGGTATGATCGATCACTAACGAATTTGCTCGCGTGTTCTTGGGATCCGGTTACGCGTTCATTAAAAGCACAGTTTATATCAATCCGTGCTGACCAAACGCTTTCAGCGATAGTGAGCGAGCAATATTGCTTGATACCGGCAGAAACTGAAACAATTACAGTCGGTTTTTTATAGAACAGATCCGATTATTCTAGAAAGACGGTATTTCTTTCCAACACTAGGAATCGAAATCTAGGCGAAAGTTTGAAAGTCAAGTCCAGGAGGGGTATGGCCTTTCTGTTTACGTTCAGTCGCCGTTGTTTGGAGTACATTTTCAAGACCGTAACATTTTCTGTTTCATTCTTGAATTCTGACTCCTGTGAAGAGGCAACTGAAATCAACTGAAATTAACGAGGTGATAAGTGGACGGCCAACGGACCGATCTTTTTCTAGTTTTGTTTGGAAATTTAAACGTTGTGTTTTTTCTGGTATGGGCCCATAAAAAGTCATCTCTCCCCCTCCTGCCTGACTTAAGAGTAATTTGCGCTGCGTATTGAACTTTTGTTCTCGCAGAATGTAACTCATTGTNGTTTCTCCCATGACTGGGGGGAAGGCTCAGCACTTTGATTAGTGCTCACAATGGGCTTCAAGCATTGCAGAATTTTATTGCAAATTGCATTTCAATCTGTCAATTTTTGTTAACCTATCTTTGTGGATCAATACCACTTGACTTGTTCGCTCTTGTTTGCATGCCCTGGTGTTTCATATAATTTCCCTTCCCCCTCACCCTATTGGCAAATGCCATACGTTTTGTAATTAAAAGTATCTAATTAGGCATAGGCATATAAAAAGTTAGCTAGAGAGACACTGTTCAGAAATAGTGAACTTGTAATAAGATGTCTATATTTTATCATGTATGGGTTATTGACCAAGTGTGAGGTCAAGATGGCTGGTTATTGGCCAAGTTCTTGGAAGTTTATAGACCTCGACTCTGTCTCGGTCCATAAACTTGCAAAAAAAGAACAAGGCCAATATCCAGTCATCTTGACCGAACAAGCTTGGTCAATAAAGGATTTATTATATGGCTTTCGGGGAAATTTTTCTTGCGGGACACANCAAAGATCCTCATTTATTATTTCTTACTTTACATGTAATTCTTTGGTTGTCTTTCAGTGGCATTGATGTGCTAGGTCTTCAAAGTTTTGAGTTTGTAGAAGCATCCTCTGTTTTGAAGGTAGTCTTGATCCTGTTTGTTATACCCTTACTGATGTACACTTGTCGACAGAAATTCACCAAGCATTGCTACGGGATAAAAAGTTCACCCAACTCCAGGAGTAAGTACAGTTTGTTTGTTTTATTTTGCTTATTTTTTTGCCATAATTTTATAAATATATTTACAAAATATCAGTGTATAAGGCAAGGAAGCCCAGTGAATCCAATGAAGCTAAATATGACAATGTATTGACTAGTTGGTTAACAATAGCATCTAACAATGCTTTCTGGCTGGCGAGACAAGTTGGCTCATGATTATATAATATACGTCAATTGAATTTATTTTGCATAAATCACAGAGGATGTCGAAATGCGATAAGAACATCACTGGCACACTCACCTGATGGCTCTTGCGTCACATATTTGTTATTACCATATTTCAACATCATCTGTGATCTATTACTGAACAGACGCACAACAACGTGGAATCCATATTTTGTGAAATGGTAGACATCAGTTGGTAGAGCTAGTTCTGGTGAAACTGACTTTGCTTTCAGAGTGGAACTGACTGACAGTCCTTTCATCCCGGCACAGAATAAGAAAAGTTGGAAAAGATTTTTGCAATGATTTAAACAGTTTAATACGCAACATAATATTTAATATGGCTGTGTCTCACAAGGACTGGAAACTACCAAATTCACGAATTTGATTGGCTGAAATCGATATTGAAAGCGGTCTAGATTTTCCCATCCAGACCGACATCTACATCGGTAATGTTTTGCGGTGAAAAAGTTGCAAAGTTAAACTAAAAATTTGTACAAAAATATTGACTATTTTCTTCTAACAACATTTAGTTATCAAAGTGCCAAAAAGCCTGATGAGAAGAAAAGTAAAGAGGAGGAGCAAACTTTGGCGGAATTAAGTTCAGCTCATCGCCATTCACAAGCGAAATGTCAGTTCGCTACAAACCAGTTACATTGAACAAATTAAATTACTCTTGTTTGCCATATGAAAGACATCTTATTAACTGAATTTAGTCTGTCTGTATGGGAAAATCTTGACCTCGGTCGTGTGTATAGACCTCACTGCATTCGGTCTGTACTCACGACCTCGGTCAAGATTCTCTCGTACAGACCTCCTGCTCGGTTAATAAGAGCTAATTAATACTGCAAGATGCAAGAATTTTCTTTGATAATTGCTCTATAATGTGTGATAATTGCTCTAATTGACTTTGCTGTGCTTTAGAAGTGCCCGGGTGCCACAGGTGACTAACTTTTGCCTTTAGGCGACTGAAAAAACTTACTTTTTATATAAACTTTAAGTGCTGGGCACCCAGGATTTCATGATTAGGAACCTTTGGGCCAGCTCCTTGTAGTTTTTGGGATGGTCACTTCTAGTCCTGATATTTAACCATGTGCTCTCGATTGAGAACTGCAAACTCTTTAAATTTGTAGTCAGTTCTATTTCATATTATTTTGTGCAATCCGCCTATTGACATGTCCAAAGGACTTGACTTTTATCCTTTCCCCCATTATTTGACCAATTAACATGCAAGCCTGAGAGTGACTAGAATCATGAGGTTCAGTTTGTTGTTGGGCAAATCATTTTACTTTCCCAGTTTCTCTTTCCAGGCAGGTATATAAATGGGTATTGGAAAATTGTCATAATATTAGTTAATTAGTTACTTAGTTAGGTATAAATTGTACTTTAACGCTTGTAATTTTTAACCTATAACTTAGTTTTTTAGAATTTTAGTTTTTAATCTGTAATTTTCACTTTTAGTGTGTAACGTCTATTTTTTAATGTANGTTTGTGTGTGTGTGTGTGGAGTGGGGTTGGGTGGAAGGGGTAAGCCTTGACAGACTAGCATCCCATCCGGGTCATGAGAGGGGAATGGTTATGAAACCTGATAAAGCTTTTTGTTGTTGTATGTTTTTGTTCGCTTTTTCGGCCTTGACCGTGTACAAAACACAATTTGTTCAGATCTCTCTCCTCTCCAGAGATCTGGACATTCGTTACAGAAATCCAATGTGCGAGGTGCCTTCTACGCAGAAGTCCTTATCATTTGTCACGTAATCTTTTCGCCAAAGAAAGATCGCGTGATGAGTGCAGGGACATAGCCGATTAGAACAATCGGGAGCTGTCGCCCCTCACATTACCCTGCGTCTGCACTCACATCGCTCAGTGTCCTCAGCGGACCCACCCCCCGGAACTACTTTAAGCCTTCACGGAGGAGAGAGTGTACAGATTGCTTACTTGTTTAACTTCCCTGTTCACTTTTTTTTAATCTCTTGACAGCTGAAGAACATGAAGATTCAAGAACGAAAGACGATAGCATCCCGGAGAAGTCAAGTGACAGTTTAAGCGAAAATAAGGTCAAAAAACGACGAGTACGGAAAAAGAAGCCTCGCAAACAAGATTCAGATTATGGTGAAGAATCAAAAGACGCGAGTGAAGCGAGAGAAAACACTGATACGAAAGGTGTCAGTGAAGAAGTTAAGGTAACCAAGAGACGCAACAAAAGTGCCGGTAGTAGAGGTCATGGTTTAGATAACGGCTCTTCTGGACATGCCAGTGACAGTGAAAATCCAGAGATACCTGGCCAATTTGAGCAGAAAAAGTACGGTAACAGACGCAACAAAGGTCTTCGAAGCAGTTGTCCTGATAAAGGAAGCGCTCCTTCGCGACGCGTTAACGACGTTGAAGTTCCTGCCGCGGCTGACTCTGTTGAGAATGTTAAGTACTATGCTAAGAGACGTAACAATGTCGTCCGGAATTTTGCTCGTGTAGACTCGGAAAACAACCATTCAAGACGGATTCTTAATAGCATTGACACTCCCGAACTGCACAGTACAGCTGGACAAGTTAAAAATGCTAAGACACATGAAGAGGTTGTTCCTTCAATGGGTGGCAATGTCAGGGTTGAACATCCCGAATCTTCCAGTACAGTTAAGGAAGTCATGTCATGTCATCTCGGTAACAATTCCCACCCCAGTGAGGGAGTTAGAATACTAAAGAGGCCCAACAAAATTGTTTCTTCAAGCTGCGCGAACGAAGTTGGTGAGAATCCTGATTCATCTTCATGTAGTCTAAGAGAAGGACTTAAAGATCGAAAGAGACTTGAAAAAGTTGTTGATTCAAGGAACGTTAATGACATTGGTGAAGATTCCGGCAAAATCAAAGAAGTCAAACATGTTAAGATTTTGAAACGTGGTCCGTGTTCAAGCCCTGTGCACTGGGATGACGTAACACCGTGCTATCGAAACAGACCGAGTCATGCTCATAACCGGGATGATAACTGTCCTAGTGATGTAACGCAGGCTGGTGTAACGCAAGGGTGTAACCCAGCGGTAAGTGTAATGCAGAGGCGTAGATCTTTCTCCAACGAGGTAACGAAGGATGCTACTGGAATAGAATGTAAGGGGAATGCCAGCCGAGTTGAAGCAACCGAAGAATATGTAAAGAACAGAAGTCCTAGTAATTTTCCCGAGGATGTCTCCGTGAGAGGATGGGAGAAATTAACCCGCAGGTCAGGTGCAATCGGGAACAAACCGATGAAGGATAATCATAGGCGTAGTTACACTACTCCCAGACGAAGATATTTCAACCACATATTTAAAAAGGATCTCGAAGGGAGAGACCTTCTGGAAAACCAGCGACCTTGCCCGACTGATAACCGAACCAAATCCGATGAGCCGGAAAATCCCGAACGTGAACCCGAAGAGGAGGAAGCAGCCACGAATTCAGCAGAACTGCCCTCCTCAGGTAAGTCCAAGACCATTTGCATCTTGTAAAGTAATGTAACATGTCTTCTTTCTTGAGATTTTGGTCTGTATGCACTCGAGATTTAAGAATCGGAAGACCTATTGTGTACAGCAGTCTTTACTTAGGCGCGAGTTGACGAAACATGGCCTCCCAAAAAGAACCTGAGGTGAGCGTGAAACGGGCCTACCATTAATTAATGTGCATTTTGAGACCACGTTTTGTTTCTTTCGACCGTTGAATGGGGCTGCGCTGTCTTTCCAAGCCAGTGCAATGGCAGGTTTTTCGTTAAGAGCGCTCACTTTTTTGAGGGGGGGGGGGGGCGGTAGGGGGCGGTTTGGGTAAATTCCTGGGACATGAATTTTTTTCCCACCTCCTTTAGGGTTGTGCATTTTTTTTTTTGGTGTATAACACTGCTTGTGTAAGAATAATTTGTCTAAGTCAAACACAGAACCTGGATAGTAGGAAGCACTTGCCCGACTTTTTCCCCATGGCTTCCCTTGCAAAAGTTTTTTCTCAACAGTTTCTGTTGTGCAGGAAATTTTCTGGAAATTGCTCAACCACATTCCCAACTCCCCCCTCAAAAATTTGGCCGGCCTTATTAAGTCACGATGTTCACAATTCAATGTACAGTATAATTTAATTCCCAGAATTCTCGTTAAGAGGAATATGCAATGAACAGTGGGGAGAATTTGATTTTCGAGCTTGAGTAAGACTTGCCTTTACTCGCAGGGACATGTCATGACATTAACCTGATGTTTGATATTTCAAGTAGATCGCATAAGAACGATGGATGACGGGAATACCAATGTACCTTGTGAGCGGGTCCCCGACACTGGAATGCTGAAAACGCAGGAAAACATTTCCGCGGAAACTGCTAAAGACGTGGAGTCACGTAGACAAACTGTCGAGTTTAGTCCCGCGCCAGTTCAAGAAATACAGACTACTTCAGACGGTCACGTTGTGATAGACCCGGCGGTACGCGAGAGAATCGCCAATCCCAAGTGCCCCGTTAGAATGCCGGAGAGACCGTTCGAAAGCTTACGTTTCCACGATTTCACCAGGCGAGAGAACTGCGGCAAACGTAGGAACAAATCTCGTGTGAACGGTCTCTTCGGCCGTGAATGGAGAGAAAAGATTGAGAAGGAACAGCAGCGGGAATTCGCCGAGGAAGACAAAGAAAGCGAGGAGAGTTTTTTGGATATACGGGACAACATCTGCCCTACCTTTATGATCTGGGGTGTCTGCCACCGCGGGGATCGTTGCCAGCTTCGGCACCCGTCGTATAGGTATCTCGAGCGTCCGAAGAAGGCATCATCCAGTCCCCAACCTGTGGACGAAGAACCGAAACCGCGGAATCCAAATTCTTACGCGGCCATCCTAGAGAAAACCAAATTTCCAGAAACCGAGGAATTTGTCAACGACTGTTTACGTAAGAACTGTTTGACTGAGGAGACTTTGGAGGAAGCTTGGCCGGCTCTTGGGTGCCCTGAGCAAGGGCGGATCACTAAGGCGCCAAAAGCAGGGGGACCAAAGCGCGATACTCCAAACGCACCTCAGGTCTGGACGACCAAGAGCACCACACAGAAAGGACCCTGGATCTTGGAGGAGAAACCCAAAGCTACCGTGGAGCAACTGCAGATCGCGAGTGATAAACTGATCGCTGACAGCTTACAAGCCGACGAATACGCAACGCTGGAGATGTATGATGAGACTAACGACGACTATTATAGTCACCACAGTCCAGAACAGGAAGTGAACGAGGACGAATTCCTTGAAAACGTTGAACAAACCAACGACGGTTCGTTCGACGCGCAACATGAAGGCAAGGTTGTCAATGAGGAACAGTTCAATTATTCCAGTTCCAGCCCTGTTATCCTGGAGAAGAATTCAGGGAGCATGGACGACCCCGACCCACCCAAACTTTCCAACAAGTGTGATATCTGTATGGATCGTCCAAAGGACGCCACCCTTGTGTGCGGTCACAGATACTGTTACCAGTGCGCCCTTCAGATGAGGCTTGATGAACGCGTTTGCGCCATTTGCAGAAGATGTATCGTCTCTGTTATCAAGACGTACAACTGAACGCGTTCATGAGCGTGTTAAAGGACTGAGCAGACACTCATACTTGTCACATGTACGAGGAACTTCACCAGAGACTTGTTAAACACCAAAAACGCTTATCTTTTGAGTTGAGAATGACATCTGAAATTGTCCTCAGCAAGAGCTTCCTAACTTGTGTTTTGAGTTTATATGCAAAGTGCCATAAACTGCGCACGACGACCATCTTTTTGTTAGTGGAAGCATTTTAGATATTTCCCGCCATTTTGGATTCCCGTCATTTTAGATGGCGCCGTGAAAGTTTAGCGCCAGTTAAGATTTCGCGTTATAGTCCGCGCATGCGTGTCACTTTACACTTCTTTACACGGGTTGTTCATTAAGGGTCATAATTTGTTTTGTACTCAATGGTTGTCACACATTTACCAAGTTTGTCTGTAGAGAGAAAATTGAAAGTGACTTGCAAGTAATGCTCTATAACTAAGGTTCAGTTTTTGTATACATGTAAAACATAGTAACTACTCGCATTTTATTCGAGAGGAAAGCTCTTTGAATATATTTTTGAAGACTAACAAGTTCCAGATATAGAGCAGAGCTATTTGAATTTATTTTTTAATACCGATACAACCTTCAAATTGGTCACTTTTCACATTCCCGGAAGAAAATATTCTTAACAGAAACGACATTTTAACCAGATGTAATTCATGACAATTTTGTACTTTAAAAGAACAAAAAAATGTTTTTGTATGTATTGGAGGATTGCAAGGTTAAAATTTATACTGTAAGTGAATAACTTTTTACCAGAATTAATTTCTGCCAATATTGTACCTTAAAGGATACAAATTTGTTTTTGTCTATTGGAGGATTGCAAGGTGAAAATTTTATGTTACAAGTGTNCCATGCATATTTTCTCCTGGTGCACGAGTCTTCACGCTGATGGTGTGAAGTTCGCAGTCCGTGGTTGTTGTTGTTGTTGTCTTTTTATCTCACAAATTATAAAAAAAAAAGTGCGCAGCTTTCATATATAAGAGAGAGATAGTCTTGCATATTGTTGGTCTAGTTGCGCAAAGATAGTATCCGTCGGAGGAAAACAGGGGAACTGGAAACAACATTGCGAGCAGTCACAACAAACCGTTCCATATGGGATGTGTTTATAGAGGAGTGTACGAATGGTACTTTGTTCAGAGATTTGTATTGTTACAAGGAGGTAAGATTATTTTTGGAGGAGATCACTCTCATTAATTATTCAAAATGAAGCTCTTGATTCGCACAGCTTGAAAGGTAGAGTCCTGCATAATCCATACCTCATTTGCGAAAGTCGTATCTGCGCGCTTCGACCGTTGCCCGGCCGTTACCACCTTTGCACGAGACTTCTAACAGCTTTCGAAGCCAGTTTGGACAAATTCATTTTTATCACAAACAAGTTTCAATGAAAAATTTTTCAGAAGGGAATGTTGTGCTACTGTTTGCAAAGTAAGTGGCTGGTACAACACATGCACGGCTGGATTTCTTGTTGTTGTTATTCAGTTTTATTCTGCATGCATGCTCTCAGCCGTGCGTTCAGCTGAAATTTTAGTTTGCATATGTAATCTGTAATTATTATCCTCTTGTGTAACCTGAAGGGTACATCTTTTGAGAAAAGAAACCCTCTTTAGCCTCGTGATAATAATTTGTAAGGTATACAACGGACTTGATTTCAAAATACCGTAAATCCTCGAATTAGCGCCCGGGAGCTTATTTCAAATTTAGGAGAAGATGGGGGGCGCTTATTCGAGAGGGGCGCTTANGTGGCCTGACATGATCATTTTTTTAATTCATCATCTGTGCGTAAACACCAACATAAGCTGTTTATTGGCATAAAAAGCTGATCCTAAAGTTTAAATCGCGGCACCATTTGTACTTAAAGTGCTCAACATGTTCACTAAACGTTTTCACAAACTGAAACAACGTACTGAATCTAATACTACATGACGAGTACTATACATCCTTTGTTGTCTCATTACTTGTCCACAAAATAGGGGGGAGGGGAGGGGGTGCTTATTCGAGGTGGGGCGCTTATTTTAAATTTCGGCCGATGGGAGGGGCGCTTATTCGAAGG